TGTTCTCTTTCCACAACAAAAACACCATGGCTTATGCCCCTTGCAATATGACGTCATTGGTGCCAATTGATAAACATTATGACGTCATCATGCTATGTTAGAGCCGCTTCACGTGGTGTAGGTACAGCTGTGTGATTCTGAGTCACCACTGCGCCGGAGTGTGTCGTAGGCCATGTTGTTTTACCGAAAACTGGTACTTGATATCTTTTGCGTTGAGAATAGACAGGGATCCAGTTGAATTGGCACCAATTACGTCATAATCTAAGGGGGATAACTCAGGCCTGTTTAGCTCGAAAAACGAAGGCCTCATATCGGCATATCATTTTCACACTATTGTGAGCTTCCTACTTTCACTGTGAAAGAAATGAGTGTATATTTTCAAACACAGATACTAATTAATTCTAAAATTGCGTTTTGTTTAGAAAAAGAAAGAAAGTGATTTTTGCGTGTACACTTCCCCTTTAAGGACACTGGAATCCCTTGGGGCGCTATATGGTTCGCAGTCTCTCTCTCCGACGTCATAACGTTTATATTAATGTTTCAATGTACTTGTAAATTCTCGTGTCATAAATTCAAAGTAACCTAAATAATAGAAATCTTATGAATGCTGCTTTAAATATATTTTCCTTTCCGAAAAAAATGTGCAAATAACGACACGATTTGGTTAGATTCGGTATTGAAACTGGACCCTCTGTGTGGAGATATTCAACTACCAGTACATTCTTTCTCGCACGTAGTCGTGAACACATGCAGGGCCAGGTTTAAACTGAAGTCATCATTAAACCAAGCGAATAATATGTAAATATTAAAACATGCATTAGCAATCCTCCATGAACTGCGAAGATGAAGGCGAGAAAATCCATTCCCTAATCATAAGAAATCTCAGCTAAAAGCAGATAAAGAAGATAAACACATTTCAAACAAACAGTTCTTATACATCATGCACTAAAATTGTGATCGCAACATCGATACGCCACAAGAAACGTATCGAAATGCAAAATTTGCAATCATGATATGTATCTTCAGGGCAAATTCAGACGTCGACAGCTCTCGTATACTAGACATGGATTTGATGCTTGTTCATTTCTATTCACACAACTGATCTGAGGCTGATCATATTGCGACTTTAAAAGCTTTGCATTTGTGGTATGATAAAGGGTTTTAGCACCCATTAACAAAACGTTTGATATTCGTCACTGGCCCCCATTGAGCATTCGTGTAATCTATACCCATATATTACCGCCGATAAAAGTGTACTAAACTGAGATGCGGGTCATGCATAATATTATCACGTCTAGTCTCATTAAAATATCGTGATGATTTTTATAGACGCCTGCAGGCTCGAAATGGTTGTTTTGTTGTCTGCAGTTTTATGGGCAATAGTAATAAACGTGCGTTCTGAAGCCACCTCCTTGTCATTGTTATCACATAGTACATGTGATCATCTGTACTCAACCCTGAGGTCGCTACTTCCCATTGAGATTGTGGACATTAGCGAGTGAGGTTGCGTTATGCCGTGTATGAGTGTCAGCTTAAGGTGAGGTGAGGTGAGGTGAAATGGAGTTTAACGTCGCGTTCAAGATTATTGCACTTACTTTGCGACGTGCATGCACGTGTGTGTGTCTGTGTGTGGGTGGAGGGGTGTGGCTGCTTGTACTACTCCGGACTAAAGCTGATTTGATAGGGCTGGACCACTGAGATACCATGTCGCAGTTTAACATGAATACCCCACTCAGACACAGTATACTGACTCCGAGCCAACCAGTCCTTGTTTTAGCCCCTTAATGCCGAGCTCAGACAGGGTAACAACAAGTACCATCTTTTAACGTCTTTTGGTATGATGCGGCCGGGGATCGAACCTGGGCGGTCGGGTAGCCTTGTGGTTATAGCGCTCGCTCGTCATGCCGAAGACCCAGATTCAATTCGACTCGGCCCGAGGCAACAGGGAGTCGGAGCATGTTTTAGTGAAGTCGTTCAAAACCCACTTGACTTATCTGAGTTCAAACTTTATTTTGGTTAATGATAACTCAAATAAAACACAGACACCTAGTTTGACACAGGATACTGATTCTAATATCCACACCATGCCCAAATGTATTGTTAAAACTGAAAACCACAACGCTCTGAGTGCGTTAGTTATTTTAAACCATGAACCATACTTCTGTGATAGTGACCTTCCTAATGGTAATATGTTTACTCCTGAAGCCTGACACGTTAATTATTCACATTGTCCAAAAGTGCTAATACCTCGCTACACGTAAATTTTGGCCAACGTTTCCCGCATAGCGATATGTTGTAGGCCTGTCCCCGTCCCTATCGACAGACAAACTCGCTTTACGGAAATGGGTCAAGGTGTCACCACAGCGAAATACCGTGTTGGGAAATAGGTCTGATAGAGCTAGACTGGTACCCTGCCCTTCGCCTCCTAGCGGCTGCAGGCGAGGAGCGCGAGCGCTCTAGGGCAGGTAAACCAGTCTAGTACAGGACGTGGCTCCCTGTTATGATTGTTGACGAATAACATAAACATATTTTGTGTAATAATTTACCGTTAGGGATGTTTAAAAAAATGTTTTTCATAATTAATATGTATTTCGTTTGTATGCATATCAATATACATACGTGAGACAAAGATGAAGTTTCTTTTAAAAGTTTGGTTACATCTTTCCAACGATTACACATCACCATGTCCCCTGCCCCCGTGTAGTTTTCTCTAACCCATAACAACAGGATCACTATGACCCAGAGGATCAACACGGCACCTGGCGCCGTGCAAAGAAAGTTTGCTTTTCCAAATTTCTATTCTTTATTTTCAGCTGTTTGCCTTACACCTGATTGCGTGGCCACATGTAAGTAGTTGATTTATTGTTGTGTGTTAATCTGTTTCTTTTATGACAATTTCATAGTTATTCTTCTATAGTGACATAAATTGCCCAGTCGCCTGACGCCCGCTTCGCGTTGTGCATGAGGGTAAATCGAAAAGAACGCGGCCTCACGTGGAAATCATTCAGAATCAAAACTGTTCACATATTGTGACATTATGACCTTGACTTCAATACATTTGACCAAGTGCTTTTCCACATGAGAATAAGGTGTAAATCCAATTTCTTACCATCAGCTGGCCGTCTTCTGGGCAGGATGAATCTGAACGCCGACCCCTGTGACAACTTCTACGAATTCGCCTGCGGTTCATGGATGGAAAAGAACATTATCGCTGAAGACAAGTCCGCCAACGACATCTTTAGGAACCTCGGCGACAGTCTGCTCATTAAACTACAAAGTAATGTCGCGGTTGATTCAGTGACCGAACTTGTTTGTAAAGTTTACTAACTTAGTGAATTTCACTGTCAACTCAGATACTAACATGGTAGTTGACTTTACTAATCACCAAACCGGTGGCCCCCGTCACAAACACATACAAAGGCAAGTCAAGTGTTCACCCGAAAAAAAACACGGGAACACATGGTACAAGTCAAAATGGGGAATTGCATCAGACATAATTTTTGTCACTGATGCGTCAAATTTGGAAATGTCCCCACATGTCTACCATAATGCAACTTTTTGAAAGCTTTACTGAGGCCTTGAAGGTTGTAACCTTGATCAAACAATAATAGAAAGAATAGTATGACGCTCTTTGAAATCTTGGCAGAAAGAGCATGCTCGGTTGTATCTCAAAAGCTCTGAAATGTAAACACCAAAGGCTGGAGCTGCTGGAATATTGCTCGACATGAAGGGTAAGTTGACTATTGGAAAGTTGAAATACTATGAAGGAATCAGGACACGGTTGACGATAGGCAGTTCAAGCACTTGTTGGTGACCGTAAGTGCCTCGATGGTCTTGATCTTGACTAAGGAGTTATGATCAACAACGAAACATCGCGCTGCTCATAGTAACACCGAAACTGAAATACACGACAATTCGACCCAAACATCCTGTGTCAGATGTAAGAGGCGACTAAAATAATATCGCTTGCAAATCGCAGTGTGTTCGTTCATCCGGATGTCTTCCACTGATCATCTAGCATAGGATGTTGGGGTCTATTCTGAACGAAAAACAGAGTTGTACATTGGATCTAAATTTGTTTCTACAATTTGCATTGTGTTCCAGGACTGCTCGAAGCACCCCCTGTGGAGGGAGAGTCAACTTCTGTTAAAGAAGCTAAGAAGATGTACGAGTCCTGCATGGACCTAGGTGCGTATACTTATACCTACCTCGTTATGGTCAGCTAGGTAGTTTGTTTGTTTGTTTGTTGTGTAACGCCGCACGCAGCAATATGACGGCGGTCTGTAAATAACAGAGTCTGTACCAGACAATCCAGTGATTGACATCTTGAGCATCGATCCACGCAATTGGGATCGATTACATGCATCAACCAAGTCAGCGAGCCTGACCACCCGATGGGGGGGGTGAGGGGGGGGGGGGGGGGGGGGGGGGGGGTGAGGGTGGCTTGGAGAAAAAGGCAAGGAATGGGCAGCTTCTACTTTTGCAAACACCTCTAGTTATGAACAAGTGGTCCTTCATCTGGCCACATCCATGTTGTCCGAAAGTCAGGTGACGTCAGAATGTGTTAGTATTAAATAGTTATGGTTATAAGCAGACATTAAGACATTGAATTGTGAAGAATCAATGAAAGCCTTCATATAAATGTTCAAATGGTGTCTTTTATCTCTGTTACCATTCTGTCATATCAAAGATTAACTGAAACCCAGAACAAATTCTACAACTTGGACGTAGATAACATATTCTAATGGGGAATACAGGGTTTGTTTCATCTTTGATTTGACTGATTTTATTAAATGTAATCTGCCGGACCAAAGACTCTTGAATATTGTAATTAACTATTGGAACAACAAATTATTATTACAAACGGCAACACGTTACTAGGCTGAAAACAGTCACTGTAAACTTTAGGTTCTAATGATACATCGTATTAAATAAAATATTATCACAATCGAATAATAAATTTCTTGTTTGCTTCATTTGAGCAACAATCAAACATGGTTGTATATTTTCTTTTGCCCGGCACTTTATATTCAACAAAATCAGTCAAATCAAAGATTAAATGAACTCAAAAAATGATTTCAGAACTACCTAGGATTCTAACAGATTCTAATAAGCAAAACGGGGTTTGTGTTTTCAAATGTGCCTTCATTTAGCGCTGACACATACTTTTGGAGAGATGCATTTAACACGGAACATGCTAGATAAATGCTAATATGTCATAATAATATATCCGTTTGGTAATCTGTGAGGAAAACATTTCACCAAATAATTTATTAAAGATGTGTTTGTGCATTTACACTGTTTATACATAGATAAAAATGCAAAGATGCTTAAATCAGTAGGGGTGCACACGACTGCGTACCACCATCCCCACTGGATCCGGTATTTTCAGGGCTGGCTGAATTACGGCTCATGTTCCTTCCTTCGTTCTTGTAGACACCATAGACAAGCGCGGCAAGAAGCCCCTGATCGACTCCCTGCCAGAGTTTGGGGGGTGGCCTGTGCTGTCCCCAGCATGGAACGAGTCAGCCTTTAACCTGGAGGAAACCCTCGTGAAGCTGTCCAACTACAACAACGTCCCCATTATCTACCTGGCTGTCGTCACAGACCCCGCCAACACCACCGTCAGGAAACTGTATGTGAGTTGATACCTGGTTACCACTGTGACAGAAGAACGGTTTGTCGATCGCTTGTGGTCTGCCCAGTCCCTGTTAGCTGACACAGTCAATGTCCCAACTCCCAACACGAGGTGATTTGCAAGTTAAAACGCAGAGGTTAACCCAAAAAACGTACAAAGCTACATTGTGAAATTGATATATGACCACCCAAGTCTAATCTTAGTCTGTCCCTGAACCATATTATTTACCCTTCAGCCCGCCCTTACTGTAATGATATAGCACATAGCGGAGCAAGTCTACATTATCCACAGGTTCAGGTTCTAAATCTTCCATCTCACTCAGGCCCCTTTTTAATTTAAATGGAGTTGTTTGTTTCTTTCAAAATTATATATTTTCAGAGACTAAGCGTTAGTCTAGATTAATGGATAAGAAAATACATCCAATATAATTGGCAAAAAAGCGACAGCACAAAGCGGAACTGATTCTAGAATTAGTGTAAGTGCAGTTCCGAATGTTCAGACTGTCAATGTCTTGGAAGAGGACTGCCTCTATTCTGGAATCCGGAATGTTGTTGGAAGCTGGAAGGAATTCTGTGTTTTCTGATTGGTATCCAATTTGCACTTGGCAAGAGTAAACGACGCAAGTCAGGCCGAAAAGGGCATCGATCGCTCTCCTGTCGCTCTCTAGGTACAGACAGCATTCATGAAATTGTCAGCAATTCCAACGAGCAAGCGTTTGCTTACAAAAGGAGGGGAGGAAACTCCAATCACACTTGTTGCCCAAATCTGGCCGGTTCAGCACTCCAAATTTTACCAGCGCTTCAAACATTTGCTTGCATTGACATTCACTGAAAAAAATTATAACAATTTCTAGCCACTTAACATCTTGTTTCAATTTCTGCACACATCTAGTACGACCAACCGAGTCTAGGATTACCTGGTCGCGAGTATTACTTGAAAGAACGGAACAGCAGTACACTGAAGGCATATGAGGACTACATCATCAGGACTGCCGTGGCGCTGGGGGCGAATCAGGTCGACGCCAGTGATCAGATCCGAGATCTCGTGGACTTCGAGATAGAAATAGCGAATGTGAGTGTTACACTGATTGAAATGAGAATAGAATAGCTGATTTGTGACTGAATGATATGGCTGAATTAAGACAATACAAAACGGCCACTGTCAATACCGACACTCAATAGAATGAGTGAGTGGGTTAAATTGTGTTTCACACTGCTGTATAAGTTATATCACGTGTGTTCCCAATTGATGCAGGTCTTAGACGCTTGCATAGCATCCCCGCACGGCGCCTTAGATGACTGGTCCATCCGTGTCCCCCCTCTTCAATGAAATGGATCTATATTACATGAGTCGAAAAAACAAATGCCATACAATGTGTCAAAGTAGTATCGCGCGTAGGTGTTTCTTTAGTGAGTGAGTGAGTGAGTGAGGAGTGAGTTTGGTTTCTACGCCGCTTTTAGCAATATTCCAGCAATATCACGGCGGGGGACAACAGAAATGGGCTTCACACATTGTACCCATGTTGGGAATCGAACCCGGGTCTTCGGCGTGACGAGAGAACGCTTTACCCACTAGGCTACCCGACCGTCCCAAGGGGCCATGAAATGTCTCTTCGTTATTATTATTATTATTATTATTATTATTATTATTATTATTATTATATTAAAATAAAAAAATGCAACAAAGAGGGTTTGGGTGATCCTGGCACTGTCGGGCTGGTTAGGCTCATTATGGATGATGATGATGCTGATTATTATTTTTTTATTTATTTAGATTACTGTACCACTCTTTGATCGCCTGGACCAGAGCAAGCAGTATAACCCCATGTCCATCGCAGAGATGGCACAGAACTATTCGCAGGTGGGTTTCAACGCTGAATGTGTAGCATACATTTGTGTTGGTTGTGTGAACATTTGTGTTGGTTGTGTGAACGTTTGTGTTGGTTGTGTGAACATTTGTGTTGGTTGTGTGAACATTTGTGTTGGTTGTGTGAACATTTGTGTTGGTTGTGTGAACATTTGTGTTGGTTGTGTGAACATCTGTGTTGGTTGTGTGAACATTTGTGTTGTGTGAACATTTGTGTTGGTTGTGTGAACATTTGTGTTGGTTGTGTGAACATTTGTGTTGGTTGTGTGAATATTTGTATTGGTTGTGTGAACATTTGTGTTGGTTGTGTGAACATTTGTGTTGGTTGTGTGAACATTTGTGTTGGTTGTGTGAACATTTGTGTTGGTTGTGTGAACATCTGTGTTGGTTGTGTGAACATCTGTGTTGGTTGTGTGAACATTTGTGTTGGTTGTGTGAACGTTTGTGTTGGTTGTGTGAACATTTGTGTTGGTTGTGTGAACGTTTGTGTTGGTTGTGTGAACATTTGTGTTGTGTGAACATTTGTGTTGGTTGTGTGAACATTTGTGTTGGTTGTGTGAACATTTGTGTTGGTTGTGTGAATATTTGTGTTGGTTGTGTGAACATTTGTATTGGTTGTGTGAACATTTGTGTTGGTTGTGTGAACATCTGTGTTGGTTGTGTGAACATTTGTGTTGGTTGTGTGAACGTTTGTGTTGGTTGTGTGAACATTTGTGTTGGTTGTGTGAACATCTGTGTTGGTTGTGTGAACATCTGTGTTGGTTGTGTGAACATTTGTGTTGGTTGTGTGAACGTTTGTGTTGGTTGTGTGAACATTTGTGTTGGTTGTGTGAACGTTTGTGTTGGTTGTGTGAACATTTGTGTTGTGTGAACATTTGTGTTGGTTGTGTGAACGTTTGTGTTGGTTGTGTGAACATTTGTGTTGGTTGTGTGAATATTTGTGTTGGTTGTGTGAACATTTGTGTTGGTTGTGTGAACGTTTGTGTTGGTTGTGTGAACATTTGTGTTGGTTGTGTGAACATTTGTGTTGGTTGTGTGAACATTTGTGTTGGTTGTGTGAACATCTGTGTTGGTTGTGTGAACATCTGTGTTGGTTGTGTGAACATTTGTGTTGGTTGTGTGAACATTTGTGTTGGTTGTGTGAACATTTGTGTTGGTTGTGTGAACATTTGTATTGGTTGTGTGAACATTTGTGTTGGTTGTGTGAACGTTTGTGTTGGTTGTGTGAACATTTTTGTTGGTTGTGTGAACATCTGTGTTGGTTGTGTGAACATCTGTGTTGGTTGTGTGAACATTTGTGTTGGTTGTGTGAACGTTTGTGTTGGTTGTGTGAACATTTGTGTTGGTTGTGTGAACATTTGTGTTGGTTGTGTGAACATTTGTGTTGGTTGTGTGAACATCTGTGTTGGTTGTGTGAACATTTGTGTTGGTTGTGTGAACATTTGTGTTGGTTGTGTGAATATTTGTGTTGGTTGTGTGAACATTTGTGTTGGTTGTGTGAACATTTGTGTTGGTTGTGTGAACGTTTGTGTTGGTTGTGTGAACATTTGTGTTGGTTGTGTGAACGTTTGTGTTGGTTGTGTGAACATTTGTGTTGTGTGAACATTTGTGTTGGTTGTGTGAACGTTTGTGTTGGTTGTGTGAACATTTGTGTTGGTTGTGTGAACATTTGTGTTGGTTGTGTGAACATTTGTGTTGGTTGTGTGAACGTTTGTGTTGGTTGTGTGAACATTTGTGTTGGTTGTGTGAACATTTGTGTTGGTTGTGTGAACATTTGTGTTGGTTGTGTGAACATCTGTGTTGGTTGTGTGAACATCTGTGTTGGTTGTGTGAACATTTGTGTTGGTTGTGTGAACATTTGTGTTGGTTGTGTGAACATTTGTATTGGTTGTGTGAACATTTGTGTTGGTTGTGTGAACATTTGTGTTGGTTGTGTGAACATCTGTTTTGGTTGTGTGAACATTTGTGTTGGTTGTGTGAACGTTTGTGTTGGTTGTGTGAACGTTTGTGTTGGTTGTGTGAACATTTTTGTTGGTTGTGTGAACATCTGTGTTGGTTGTGTGAACATCTGTGTTGGTTGTGTGAACATTTGTGTTGGTTGTGTGAACGTTTGTGTTGGTTGTGTGAACATTTGTGTTGGTTGTGTGAACATTTGTGTTGGTTGTGTGAACATCTGTGTTGGTTGTGTGAACATTTGTGTTGGTTGTGTGAACATTTGTGTTGGTTGTGTGAATATTTGTGTTGGTTGTGTGAACATTTGTGTTGGTTGTGTGAACATTTGTGTTGGTTGTGTGAACATCTGTGTTGGTTGTGTGAACGTTTGTGTTGGTTGTGTGAACGTTTGTGTTGGTTGTGTGAACATTTGTGTTGGTTGTGTGAACATTTGTGTTGGTTGTGTGAACATCTGTGTTGGTTGTGTGAACGTTTGTGTTGGTTGTGTGAACATTTGTGTTGGTTGTGTGAACATCTGTGTTGGTTGTGTGAACATCTGTGTTGGTTGTGTGAACATTTGTGTTGGTTGTGTGAACATTTGTGTTGGTTGTGTGAACATTTGTGTTGGTACATGTGGTTTATGAAGTCGCCGTGTAACGTGACACCAGAAGCAGTTGCATATCAGTCGGGTGGAAATAGTGGTGAATATTCAAGGGAGCGCGATGACAATGTGACATCTTTATTACCGGGAGTTCCTAGCGTTATGATTGCCGCATGTTATCTGAAATGTTTCGGTTAATCAACGGAAATATTCCTCGAGCATTGGAGCATGACTTGATAAACTATGCCTTGTACTCGCCCCACACTAAACCAGGGGATTGGCAGCGCACTCGTTGTTTTAGGACAGTCAAACTTGATTACCGCAAAAAAAAGGAATGTTTACCGCTTGCTGCCCCGACGCCCCCTTTTTATGATTTTATTTTCAGGGGAAAAGAAAACACATGGTTTGACAAACAAGTATTTTTTGAAGAAAATCGCGAATAAATGAAGAATTTTTTATTCTTGAAGAGTGAGTGAGTATGGTTTTACGCCGCTTTTAGCAATATTCTAGCAATATCACGGCGGGGGACACCAGAAATGGGCTTCACACATTGTACCCATGTCGGGAATCGAACCCGGGTCTTCGGCGTGCCGAGCGAACGCTTTAACCACTAGGCTACCCGACCGCCCCTTATTCTTGAAGAGCAGAAACATCTGTGTCTAGATTACATTACAAAGACGTAGAAATTGCAAATAATTCTTGGACAGCCACCAGTTTGTCAATTTAATTAATTGAAATGAAATCACTTTGTACATTTAAGATCTGAAATATCACGTCTAATTCAAGTGATATCTTAACATTCTAAACACATCTTTCACATATTTCGTCTTATTTGTTGATCGCCTATAAAATGACTGAAATGATATTTAGGCAATTTACAAAATGCCAAAATGTTTCAGTCATTTTACAATTATTTTTACACATTGACTGAATTTACACATTGACACTAACATATATACGTAGGCTGAAGGATATAATTTCTTATTTACTTGTCATATTTCATGATCAGGAACATTTTTCAAAGGATGCACATATGACTCGACCAAGGAGCAGTTACATGTGCGTCTTCTGTTCAATATTAATGTCTACGGAAGCTAAATGTATGATGAAATTACAGTTTATCTCGAAATAGAAGGTCATGTGAATGTCAGTTTGTGTTTGTATACTACTATCCTTGATAGCACTGCACTATGTAGAGCATATGTATGGAGTTGAGCTACAGTGTTATTTGCCCCGTCAGTTTGACTGGTTGAAACACGTCCGTGACATCATGGCGGAGGAAGGCGTGGACATCAACATCACCGCTGAGGAAGTTGTCATCAACTGGTCCCCACCATACTTTGAGAAGCTCTTCCCCATCCTGGAGAAAACACCCAAGAGGTAAAGTTCGAGTGACGAGTTATTTTTCGTCGCCTATACTAATTTTCCAGACATATACTATTGACAAGAAATTAAAGATCACCCTATTCTTTCATATTACAATAATTCATATGTCATTTAAATGATTAACTGTAGTAATATGAAAGAATACGGTGGTCCTTAACTTCTTTTGCGTAGAATACACCAAAGCGGGGTGAAACCATAAATCAACTTCACACATTCTCACTTGGAGATTCGAACCCTGGTCTTCGGCGTGACGACCCAGCGCCATCACAACAACACTAGATGCACGTTGTAATGTGTGTGTGTGTGTGTCTCTGTGTGTATGTGTGTGTTTGGCAGTGCGTGTATGTGTGTGTGTGGTTATTGTGCTCATCTCTCTCTCTCTCTCTCCCTCTCTCTCCCCTCTTTCCGTGTGTGTGCAGTTAATGTGCTAATCTGTGTGTATGTTTGTTTGAAGGTGTTGTGCTTGTCTGTATGTATGTGTGCGTGAGGTAATTGTGCTAATATTTGGTTCGTGTGCGTGAGATTATTGTGCTAATATTTGGTATGTGTTTGAGAGATTATTGTGCTAATCTGCGTGTATGTGTGTGTAAGGTTATTGTGCTAATCTCTCTGTCTCTCGCTGTGAGTGTTACTGCGCTGATGTGTGTCCAGCTATTATGCTAACCCCCCCCCCCCCCCCCCCCTCTCTCTCTCTCTCTCTCTCTCTCTCTCTCTCTCTGTCTCTCTGTGAGGGTGCTGTCACTGCACTAATGTGTATGCAGTTATTGTGATAACCTGTGTGTGTTTCAGAGTGTTGGCCAACTATGCTATATGGATGCTGATTAAACAGAGAGTGAAGCTACTTGACTCCTCATTCCGAGACAGCATCACTACATTCAACCAGGTAAACATACAGGAGCAGTAATACCAACTGCACAGACGACATATATATCTTATTAACATATTCCTGAAGGATATGGCGCAAGGCATTGCAATGCAAGGGAAACATTAGCACCAACAATGGAGAGCACGGTGTTGGTTACATGTAGTTTACGTGAATATACAATAAAATGTGGGATACAGGCATGCCTGTTTACGTAATATTAGCAAGCAATCATAAGAATCAAGATTATTTAAAAATTGAAACAGTTCACTTTTTTCAAATGAAATAGTTAGTTATAGACCAATGCCATCCAACAACTAGAAATATTTGTCTTTATTTGTCTTCTCTTTTAGTGTAACAGTGCTAGCCTATAGAGATTCCATGCCACAGTTTAATATGGATTCCTAAATCAGACACATACATTCAACTAGAAATATTTGTCTTTATTTGTCTTCTCTTTTAGTGTAACAGTGCTAGCCTATTGAGATTCCATGCCAGTTTAATATGGATTCTCCAATCAGACACATACATTACTAGAAATATTTGTCTTTATTTGTCTTCTCTTTTAGTGGTGAGCTGTTTTATGTGCTGCAAATCGACACTTTTACACTTTTGCACCAACAGGCGTTAAGCGGGACCTCTGCGCAGCCTCCGCGGTGGAAGGTGTGTTCCACGTATGTCAACAGCGCCATGAGCCTGTCTGTGGGCCGTCTCTATGTCGACGCCCATTTTAAGGAAGCAGCTAAATCTGACGTAAGTGGGGCCAGGAAGAAAGTTTGAGAATGAGTGCGTGAGGGTTTGCTCCACGTTAAACGACATTCCATCCCTCACACGTTGTACAAGTGTAAGGAATCGAACCCGCTTCCTCGACAAAATAACTTATACATTATAAATGTCGGAAATCCAGTTTTCATCTTGACGCCATAAGACAACAGATCGAATTTTCGTTTTCATATTCGGCGTGAGCTATATTGGAATATCCGTTCGCTCCGATCATCTCTGAAACTTGAAATATCTGATTCGCTGTGCTGAGTTGCGTCAACAAAACAAACAATATTATTGTACTTCAACGTGCATGCTTATGTGCGTGTAAAGGTGCTTGTACGAGTACTAGTCCATATGCCGGTTTCATGATGCAAGTATAGTACTGTTTGTTTGTTTGTGTGTTTGTTGTTTAAGGCGTACTCAGCAATGTTCCTGCTATATGACATCGGTCTGTATATAATCGAATCTGGAACAGACAATCCAGTGATTTTAACATCATGAACATAAATCCACGCAATTGGGATACGATCAAAAGCTTCAGCCATGACAGCGAGCCTGACCACCCGACCCCGTTAGTCGCCTATTACGACAAGCATGGGTTGCTGAAGACCTATTCTCTACCTTGATCTTCACGTGTCTAGTATAGTACTAACATATACCATGTTACAGTGTAACATGGATGACCCCTTCAGACACATTACACTGACTCCGAGCTGTCCAGTCCTGGTTTTATCCCCGTTATGCCGAGCGCCAGGCAGGGTAACAACAAATACCATCTTTTAATGTCTTTTGGTATTGCTTTGCCTGTGACAGAACCACTGACCTTCCGCTCATGTGGGCAGACACTCTTTCCACAAGATCACGGAGGCGGTATTTTTGTTTGGAAATGCAGATCATATTTTAAGATTTAGATTCGTTTGATATTTCATGAATATATGATTATGATGCCGACAATATTTTCCAATCACAGATGTTGAATATCATCTCCTACTTGAGGTCGTCCTTCAATGCCCTCCTGGAAGAGGCTGTCTGGCTGGATGACACCACCAGAACTGTGGCCAGGGAGAAGGTGAGTGAGTGAGTGAGTGAGTGACTGGTGTTTGTACAGCACCACATCACGTGGTGACATTGAGTCAGCAGAAGCGAAGACACTGGTTTGTCAGTTGTATATCCACGAACGTGGCACCTTCCTTAACGAATCTGGCATTTGAAGCACTTTAAGATGAACAAGTGTTAACATGGTTATCGAATATATCAGCGATTGTTGTATCATATAGAATTATCCAGTTTATCTTTGAAATATCCATTGAACTCCAACGCCCCCCCCCCCCCCCCCCCCCAAAAAAGAAAAAGAAAAGATAAATACAATAAATAAATAAAAAAAAAATTTAAATAAATAAATAAAAAATAATAAATAAATTACAAAAATAAAAATAAAAATAATAATTACAAACAATATAAATAAAGGGATAAATACATATCAAGGACCAATAAACATCTGAAAAAAAAAAAAATATCTAAAATAGAATTATGCCCACCTCCACCTCCATCGATGATGTAATGTTGCAGAAATGTTTTTAATGTTGAAGGCGGAGGTGATGGACGAGAAGATAGGCTATCCAGAGGCCCTGAAGAACAACAGCTACATTGATGATCAATATAAACACGTACGTAACTGTGAACGTCGATGCTTTATTGTATTGACGGTTTTCTGTCCTTCGATACTGTGGGTTTCCGTGTATTGACGTTTTGTTGGGTTTTCAGTCAATCTCATTAAAATCAGATCTTAGTTCTCGCTATCGCTCAACAAAGATCTGAGGACATCCCATTACAGGTCACGTCAGAACGATCTTTCATCCGATCAATCAAAGCGTTGCTTACCAGATCATGAAAGGGACTGTTAGAATGTGTTTTCTAATCATGCAACCTCGAAAAGGTTAACACGGGGTATTCCGAACGACAGTTACGGCCCGTACGACTGATCCCGACAAAATTATCGTCTATCTCTCGGTTTTGTGGGATAAACATTTGAACGGAGGACGCGTTGCGCAGTTCGTAGGAAGCACTGCCATAGAATCTCAACCATATATTATGTTAATCGAGAACTGTGTCAACATATTTTTCAAGCGTAGTCTGAAATGGAAGTCGCTTGGTTGAAAAGCTCCAGAAAGGTGCTTTCTAATTGGCGCTCTGCCATCAGACCACGGAGGATGTCCTTTTTATGATTTAGTGGATTATGAGCTTGTGACATAAACTGCCCGGCAAAAGAAAGTACAGACCCTTGTTTGGTGGTTACTTAAAATGATTGAGTGAGTGAATGAGTTTGTTTAACGCCGCTTTTAACAGTATTCCAGTTATATCACGGCGTGTCGGCTTAATGTGTGAGGAAAGCCCGAAGTGATGCAGGTCTTAGACGTTAACCACTTCGGTGAAACCCACGAGCACGGGTATGGTGCTGACAAACCTAGAAACATAATCGGGGCGAACCGGGTTTCGAATCCACAATCATAGGTTTCTGGCGTGCCCAAGGGACGCAACTCTGCACAGCGAATTGTGTCGCCTAAGACGACTGGGCCTCCCGTGCCCCCTGACTTAAAATGAAACAAACAAGAAAAGGTAATTCGATGGTGATGTATGTGATACGGGTACCATAGTTGTAATTTCAGCCGTTTGCAGCGTTTCGGCGAATGTTTTCAGCAGGGTAACATTTTGATAGCATTTATAATCGTTTAGCCATATCGAATTTTCAAGTGTATATTTTCTTTTGCCCGGCAGTGTATGTCACAAGCGGAGTGTACTGGATTTCATGAGCTGCATGTCCATCTTGACGATTTGAATGGGTAATTTACAACGAGTATTGATCGTGTCTTTTTCAGCATATATTCAACACAAGCCTGTACTTTGAAAACGTCCAGATAGAACTACAGCAGGCCTCAAGAAAACATCTGCGTTCCCTCCGACTCAAAGTAGACAGATCCGAGTAAGTGTGAAAACTCGAATCAGAAAACATGTGCTGTGCTTCGTCAAATATTGAACGGTAGATGTCAGATATATTCTACTCCAAAGAAGTTTTTTAAATCGATATCTGTCGTTATTTCAATTATTTATTTATTTTTCTCGAAATTTCGAGTCTTTTCTCGTTAATTTGATTGTTTTCTCGTAATTTCAATTCATTTCTTAGCGATCCGACTGTCATTAGTCTATTTTAACGTATGGGAGTTTTAATCGTCGTACCGCTAAGATTGTTACGTCATGAACTTTAAATCGTACACCCATAAAAGTACAGTGCGGCGAAAACATTTTTTGGACAGCTTCACGTAAAGTTAAAGCGAACACAATACTGCCTACAATCTGAAAGCCATAAAGATATATGAAATGGATTTGTAAACAGTATAACTTATGTATCACGTAAGAAATTTAAAAAATAAATAATGGAAATCGAGTTCCACTATGACGTCAAAGTCTCCAGGGACTTGTTAATTATAGCAACGAGTTTGCGTGTGCGCAGGCGTTCATGCGCGTGTGTGTGTCTTTAACTGCATGAACATGTCCGGACTAACGCAGGTTTTAAAGCGCTTACCCAGCGAGATACCATGCCGCAGTTTAACATGGATATCCCACTCAGACACAGTATACTGACTCCGAGCCGACCAGTCCTTGTTTTATCCCCTTAATGGCGAGCGCCAGGCAGCGTAACAACAAGTACCATCTTTGATCGTCTTTTGGTATGACACGGCTAGGGGATCGAACCACCGACTTTCCACTTTCCACTAGACCACGGAAGCGGTTACACAGTTATTAACCGTTGTGGTATAACTGTATAAAAAATATTAATGAATGTATAAATAAATAAAAATAAATAAACTGAAAATCAACGAGAATAATGATCTGTGTTGATGCAGATTTTCTGATCATCTATGCTTTTTTCTGTTTTCAGAAAGAAATTTTTTCGGTCATGTTAATCTCCAAACGCTCGGATCCAAAGTCTATAACCAGTGATATCTAATATTCGATATAATATGTTTTTTATGAAACATTAATATGTGTCGAGGGAAAACATTGACATTCGTGTCTTGAAATAAAAAAGAAACCGTTATTTCCGTCTGACAAATAATAAATTGGTCCTCAGTGTGTTGTTTATTATCTATGTTTATTCATCTGTGTTTGTTGTCTTCTATAAGCTGTTTTAATCCTTGTTTATTGGTGCGCCAATGTTTGTTACGTTGCAAGTATGTCCCGAGAGTACGTTAATGTTGTTGCTATGTTTATTGTCTACTGTAGTCAATGTTATTCATCTGGGTTTGTTGTCTGATATTGCTGCTATGTTTATTGTCCAATAGTGCGGTGTTTGTTTATTCATCTGTGTTTGTTGTCTAATATTGTTGCTGTGTTTATTGTCCAATAGTGTGGAGTTTGTTTATTCATCTGTGTTTGTTGTCTGATATTGCTGATATGTTTATTGTCCAAAAGTGTGGAGTTTGTTTATTCATCTATGTTTGTTGTCTGTGTTTTCAGATGGCTAGTGCAACCGGCAGTGATCAATGCTTTCTACAACCCGACATGGAATGAAATAGGTGAGTGAACACATCACGTGTAGCATAAAACACTTTCAAGGATTTTTATGAAATCTAAAACCCGAATCCGAGGGTTTGAAATCTCATAAAATCCCGAGGGGAGTTTTTTTCCACAAATCTGAAACAACATTTATGAACAATATAACGTTTTAATCAAATTTTCAATGAACCATGGGAATCGGGCGTAAAATATCTCTTGCTGGCGAACATGAACTTGGAAAAGAGATTTTCAGAAGCGTTGTGAGTTATCAGCATCATGGTTTGTTTACTAGCTGCGGATACGGAGGTTGCATGCTCGATCCATTGAAATACGTGTGTAAAGAAATATTTGTCATTTGATTTTACCTCGTTCCGCAGATTTCCTTATGTACAGTGTGTTCAAATGCAAAGCAAATCTCCAGCGAGGGACATTCACTCACACGTTACAATATCACCGGAACCTGTACACAAAACACACGGGGATATTGTAACATCCCTTCCCCATACACGAGACTTAACCCGATGGGCGAACAATTGGATTATGTCACTTGAGGTTAATAAATCCTAATTACACCCAAAATGATTCCGAGTCAGAATACGACCCCGGTATAACGACCCCGGTATGACATGACGGTGTGGATCCCTGCACAGGCAAGCCGCACGTCTGTCTGGACTTTGAGTTTGATGGCCCAATACCGTCTTTAGGCGGTGGGATAGCCCCGTAGTTAAAGCGTTAGCTCTTAAAACCGAAGGACCTAGTTCGATTCCCCATACGGGTACCACGAGTGAGACCCGTGATGATCCTGGTTAGAACAGGTCTTCAGCAAGCAATGCTCGTCGTAGGAGGCGACAAACAGGATAGGGTGGTCAGGCTCACTGACTTGTCATCGTATCCCAATTACCTGGATGACGTCAATTACTGGATTGTCCAGACTCGATTATTTACAGACCGTCGTCACATATCTCGCAATACTGCGCAGACAACGGCGTTAAACAATAAACAAACAAACAAACAATGAGTGAAGCCCATCCCTTCTGTAACCCGTCGTGTAATATTAGAATATTGCTAAAAGCGGCGTATAACCAAACAAATTGGACAATACAATTTACACCGCTTTTTAACTGAATCTTGATTCGTTTGCACCCATCTTCCCGAGGCAAGAGAGTTAACCGACTTTAAAAGTCCAGGTTCCACCCTTGCCAAACTCGGCTGGTATTATGGAGTTACAGTTTGGCTGGACTAACGAGTCTATGTATAGTCCAATCAAAATCGCGCAACGAAATCGAAATCCGGTTCGTAAACTGTCATGCAGATTTCGGTCGATTGCAGGATTTGCAAAGCATGTGCACTGCCAACTCGTTGTCAACAGATATTTTTTTAATGTTTTGATGTTTTTAATCAAGGTGCTCACATAATTTGATGCACTTCGCGAAGTAAGACCCGTTTTATCACAATATAGATATGGATTACAGATCAGATCGTCTTGACTGGGCGCCGCTATTTTGTTTTAAACAAATGCAAGTGATACGAGAGGTAGAATCTGATTGGTCTATAGGAGAGGCATAGAAGGGACATAATTCGTAATATCCACTGGTGGCGCTACGATCGGGGCCAGGAATTCCAGACTAGGTCGGCAAGGGTGGAAACTGGACTTTTGTAGTCAGTTAACTCCCTTGCCTCGGGAAGATGTTTGCACCTTACCGTGCTCGTTGCAAATGGTTTCACCAAGGTGGTAATGATAAACATGGCCGGCATGCGTCGCTTTTCTGTTATAGTACGAAAACGGAAATACTGAAATCTTACTAAAACCAGACTTCCTCGCTCACCCATGCCCCGCGAGTGTACCTGTCTCGAGATGTTGAAATGTTTGGAATCCATAATGGTAATCACATTTGTTCCAATTCCAGTATTTCCAGCTGGCATTCTCCAGGAGCCATTCTACAGCGAGAGCCAACCTGGGTAAGACGCTGTGACTATGAGAATCTTGCCTTCATCAGTGAATACGAGATGTATCAGTGTACTTCTAGGGCTGAATGGGTCCTCACTATCCCATGTCTGTAAGACACTGGAGGATTACCTTGAATCCAGTTCCAGTTGGACACAATCAGTCAGTCACCAACCATCCTCATCCATCTCATTATTAAAAATCAGATCTTTTACTCTGATGCGATTGCTAAAGATTCGAGGACACCTCCATAGGAGGTCGTGCCAAATGAACTTTCTAATCTAAGCGTCGACGCTTCTCGTGATGAGTGAACGAAGCGTTTTCTGTATCTCGAAAACGAAGTTTCACTTAAACAGCCAGTTCCGAATGTAAATAATAATAAGAAGAACGCGTCGTTATGTTGTTATTAATATTTTATAAACCCTGGCCTTTCTGAGTGCCATGACATTTT